CTCAGGCACCCCCTGCGCGCCCCTAAACCCCCAGGTACCCCATCGGCGTGGGGAGGTCTTGGGGCATGGGGTTGTTCGGGTCTGAGCTTCTGAGCGTCTCCCGGGCCATCTGGGCTGCTCGGCCCCATTCCCTGGTCAAAGGGCCTCGCGAGACCTGCGGTGCGCGCAGTGCGCATGGGGTGGACTCCCTGCCCAGCCGCGTTCCGCAGCAGCGAGGCTGGGAAGCCCGCGTGTCCCAGCTCAACAGCCCAGGCTGAGAACCTTGAGACCCCAAGTGCTGGCAGCTTCCTTCCCGTCCCGTGCCCGGGAGCAGCCCAGCCGCCCAGGCCAAGGGCGGCGGAGGAGACTGAGATCTGAGGATCGCGCTTGGAAGCCAGCCTGGGGCTGGAAGGGCCGAGAGATTCTTCCCTCCAAGTCCTCCCAGAAAATGCCAGAAGTGGTGCTGTCGTGCTCAAGTGGTAGTGTACTAGCCTTGATCCATAAAAGGATCCAAGGGCCTTTGGGACAGAGCCCGGAGTTCGAGCCAAACAAAAACCAAAGTCGCAGACTTTGCTGCCCAGGCTGGTTTCAGACCAGGATCCTCAGATCTCAGCCTCCTGAGTACCCAGGACTTGCAGGCCTGAGCCACCAAACCCCCTGTTTCAAACTAACAGCCAACTTTGGACTTGTAACGCTGGGGACATGGGGTACCCTACTATTTCATAAAAGGAAGAAAAGGGCCCCGGGGAGAAAGAGGGTAGATCTGCAGCAGGACATCCTGGTTTGCCCTTTCTTACTCCTTCACCGTCTCCCATTTGCCTGCCCACCTAGACGATGCCAGGGGGAGACATCAAAAGAAGATCCGAAGCAAAACACAGAATTACCTCAACCAGTACGCGGGGGAAGGCCTGCGCACCCTGTGCATCGCCAAGAGGGTGAGTGGGGGCCGCCCCTCGAGGGCTCCCTCTGGTGGCCGCCCTGCCGCCCCGCTCACCTCTGCCTGGCCTTCAACCACAGGTTCTGAGCAAAGAAGAGTATGCCTGTTGGCTGCAAAGCCACCTGGAAGCCGAATCCGCCGTGGACAACCGCGAGGAGCTCCTCTTCCAGTCTGCCATCCGCCTGGAGACCAATCTGCATCTGCTGGGTAATTTACCCCTTCCAGCTGCCGGGTGGGGTTGGAAGGGAATTGAGCTTGCAGAGAGATTGGTGATCTGGAGCAGGTGGCCCTACCCGGGCTCTGGGCATGCTCTTGAGTTGGCTGAGCCTGGTTAGGGACTAGCTTGGGTCTGGCCCCATGGTAGCTTATCTCCCAGGACCCAGAGAGAGAGTTCCAGGGGACTCATATGGCAAGCAGGTGTCCTGTCTACACAGCCACTCTGCCTGCCCTCTACCCAGCTTTTGCGCAAAAAACATAGAAATGACAAGTTCTTTTCTTTTGTACCATACTGGGACTTGAACTCAGGTCCTTGTGCTCAGGGCTCTTCCTCTACTACATTTGTACTCTGGGCTTTTTGCTAGTTAATTGGAGATGACTCTGGGCTGGTTTCAAGCCAGGATCTTCTCAGATCTCAGCCTCCTGAGTTATTAGCTAGGATTACAGGTGTGAACCACTAGGGCCCAACCTCAAGCCAGCCTTTGGATAACTGATGGCTGATGTACTTCATCCCTCAGACAAACCCAGGAGAACATTTATGCTCCAGAAACCGCTGATTTTTGCATTTTATAAATATTTCAGATTCACTTGGGATCAAAAGAAGACGAGCTCATTTTTATTGAAATGTGCAATTTCCTTCTGGGGGTGTTCCTATTTATATTTCATAAATACTGATCACTACTGGTAATAAATTGGGGCATTCATACTTTTGCACTTTATTTTAATATTGAATTTCAGCTTTGAGATATTTAATATAATATTTATTGACGTGGCAAAGGGATTTGTCAGTCTTTATATGCATGGGCTGCCGGCTCTGTCCTCACGGAGGAATTGGTGACAATTTCAGACACTCCCTGCAACTTGGGGACCCTCCTCAGAACCCCCTACCCCCACTAGTCATACACAAAGCTCCAGAATTCTGTTGGATTTTTTTTGTTGATGTTGTTGTTTTTCATTTAACAGAAAAGACTACCTTGTGTTTAGTTCCTTGGGCAGAAGAGTTGGGTGATCTACCATTTCTATATGTGCATATCTAATAGGCACATATCTAAGTGAATAGCGATTAATATTTAATAGCACAATGTGTGGTAGACATAATGAATACACACGGGAACTTCCTGTAATGTCCACCATGAACTATTCAGAAAACCCCAAGATCCGGAGGTCTGGTGACCTATTCCACACTGCATCCTTGAGTGTGAATTACAATGCACCTCTTCCTCTTAAAAAGACATTCTGCTTACTTGGATTGAAGGAACTGGGGTACTCTTATGAGCAGGGGCCTCTCCCCGGCCGGGTGTGAAGCCACATGCATGTAATCACAGCTACTCTGGAGGCTAAGCATGAGGAGAGATCATCCACGGAGCCCAGGAGTATAAGGCCAGCCTGAGTAATATGGACAGACCTTATTTTCCAGAAAGCAAGCAACAAGGTCAGGGGTGATGTTGCATGCCTGTCATCCCAGCTACTTGGAAGGTGGAGATGGGAAGGATGAGGCTGGCGTAGACAAAAACTTGAGAACCTTATCTGATACACAGACCCAAAGCAAAAGCCGCCGAGGGTGTGGTTCAAGTGGCAGAGGGCTTGGAACCCTCTTCCCGTGGACAGTGACCCCACTGTTAGCAGTGCCATCTCCTCCCTGAGATTTGGGAAGGATGTGACCGTGAGATTTCAGGATGAATTCTTGTCTTGATCTGAGATCTGGGCTAGGTTGTTCTGTCCTGGCTCAGCCGAGAACTCATCATTACACTCTTGAGCAAGCAATTGAGTCTTTTTTATTTTTCTTTTCATGTCGGTTTTCTTATGATCCAAGAATAACAATGCCGATGTGCTCAGGGCCCTGGGAGGGCAAAAGGGATGTCCTGAAATCTTTGAGCATGGTTTAGGCCCAGGCCTCCTAATTGAGACCTCCCTGTTCCAGCCTCCTGGGATTATAGACAGGAGTCACCATGCACAGTTTATATGTATGGTGTTCGTTTGTCGGGGGAGGTGTTGGTGTTGGAGCTTGAACTCAGGACCTGGGTCTTGTCCCTGAACTTTGTTACTCAGTGCCGACACTCTACCACTTGAGCTATTCTTCCACTTCTTGCTTTTTGGTGGTCAATTAGAAATAAGAGTCTCATAGACTTTTTCCCAACCATGCTGGCTTTTGAACCATGATCCTCAAATCTCAGACTCCTGAGTATCTGGGATTACAGGCGTGAGCCATTGGTGCCCAGCTGTATTTAGGTTTTAAATGGCAAGGCCTAAGCTAGAAAATAAAAGCGATTCTCACCATTATTTAGGACCATGGCTGGAGCCACAAATAGGCCATTTCGGGGTACTATAGTGTTTCAACTCTTCAGCTTCTTTTTTTTTTCGTCTGTCATGGGGCTTTAACTCTGGGCCTGGGCACTGTCCCTCAGCTCTTCAGCTCAAGGCGAGCACTCTACCACTTGAGGCACAGCACCACTTCCAGTTTTCAGGGTGTTTTGCTAGAATTTCCTGCCTGGGCTGGCTTTGAACCGCGATCCTCCAATCTCAGCCTCCTGAGTAGCTAGGATGACAGGTGTGAGCCACCGGCGCCCAGCTAGCTTTATTTTTTTCATCTCTCTGAACCCAGTACCTATTTCTAAAGATCTTTTCATTTAGATGCTAGTGTTTCATAGCCTCGAGAGACCCACAAATAAATACCATCAGTGGAAACGTTCCCCATCCACACCTTATCCTGGAAATTTTCTTTTCCTGCACATTCTGGCCAAAGACTCTAAATTCAGAGGAGAGTGTTCTATTTGTCTCCCTCCTTCTCCCCCCGCCCCCCCCCAGCACCTTTACCTGTGGCCATTTTCTTGCTAGTTCATCTGGAGTGTCACCTGCAGCTCCACTACAGGGGACATCTTATCCTTTCCCATGGAAAAGCCACCTGGCACAGAGGTGGCATGGTGGCCCCAACCCGCCTCTGAACTCTCCAACCTCCCATACTTTAACACTCACAAATGCCAAGCCCTCCCCAGGGTCCCATGGGCATTTAGCCAGAGTTACATAAGTTATATCACATACAGCCACCTTGGGAGATCTCGCGCTTCAAATCATTTAATAAAGGCCTTTTCTCTTTGAATGCTGCCGTATTTCATGCTGAGGTCAGGTGAACCTTCCAGAATTCTAAGAGTTTCCTAGAATTCTGTGCCTGACCCAGACCTGCAGGGTTTCTAGATCAGGTTAACGGAGGGACCCAAGAGGGAGCTCATTGGCCAGTAACTCCTGAAATAAAGGAAGTTATAGGGTGTTTTTGGTTGCTGTTGTTGTTTGGTATAGGTTTTGTTTTCTGTTATTTATATTTGTTTTTGTCAGTCGCGGGGTTGGAACTCAGGGCCTGGTGTGCTGTCCCTGAGCTCTTTCACTCAAGGCTAGCACTATACCACTTTGAGCCACAGCACCACTTCCGGTTCTCTGGTAGTGAATTGGAGATAAGAGTCTCATGGCCTTTCCTGTGTGGGCTGGCTTTGATCTATGATCCTCAGATCTCAGTCTCCTGAATAGCCAGGATTACAGGTGTGAACCACCAGCACCTGGCATTTCTGTTTTTCTTTTTGGCTGGGATTTGAACTCAGAGTCTCACGCTTGTTAAGTGGACACCCTGCCACTTAAGCCATGCCCTCTGGCCCTTCTCTGCCTTTCGTGATTTTCTGTATAAGACCTCATGTTTTTGCCTGGGCTGGCTATGCATAAACAGGTTGTCTTCCTGTTGATTCATCCTGTAGCTGGAACCACAGGCGTGCTCAGCTTTGTAGTTGTGATGGGGTCCCGCTGACTTTTTGTTCAGTTGGCCTATTCTCACAGTTTTCCCAATCAGGTTCTCTCTGAGAACCTGAGATGACAGGCATACCCAGCCTGGGAAGTTCCAATTTTAAGGTGTTAGCAGCGGGTGACACCTGCCTGTAATCCTAGCTGCTCTGGAGGCTGAGCTCTGAGTATTGTAATGGAAGCCTGCCCAGGAAGGAAAGTCTTTAGACTCTTATTTCCAGTTAACCACACAAAAAGCCAGAAGTGAAGGTGTGTATCGAGGTAGTTCACTATCATTAAGAAAAAAAATAATAAAGCACAGGGACTATTCAGACCCTGAATTCAAGTTCTAGAACCAGCAAGTGTGCATACGACCACCCACCCACCCCTACACACATAAGCTAGAATTGGAAGTATGGCTCTAGTGATAAAAGCGTTATCCTTGAGCAAAAAAAAAAAGCTAAATTAGGAGCCGGGCACCAGTGGCTCACCCTCGTCATCCTAGCTACTCAGGAGGATCAGGAGGATCAATCCGAGGATCAGGATTCAAAGCCAGCCCTGACAGGAAAGTCCATGGCATTCTTATCTCCAGTGAACACCAGAGAACCAGAAGTGGCACTGTGGCTCAAAGTGGTAGAGCGCCAACCTTGAGCACAAAAGCTCAGGTCCAGCGCCCAGGCCCTGAGTTCCAACTCTATGACCAACAAAAGAAATTGGGAGAAAAAAAAGAAGAAGAAGAAGAAGAAAAGAAACTAAGGCAACAGCGTCCAGGCCCTGAATTCAAGCCTCAGTCTTGACACTAAACAGATAATGTTGGTAGTGAATGGCACTGAGCAATGGTGGTGTTGGCAGAAACTTGCCAGAGGATACGTTAGATTTTAAATATGGCCCTTTGCGCCTCTGCCTCACAACTCATCTGTAAAGTTCTGAGTTCGCTGCCTAAAGCAGAAGGAACTCGAGGCCCTTGGAGTCTGCACACACGGGGATGTTCAGTGACGCCAGCAGCTCTGCAGTGTTGAATCACGACCATTTTCCAAATGAGAAATGGCTTTGCCTGTGGGTAGCGCCCTCTGCAGGGTGCAGGCAGTCAGGGTGTATCTGATGTGTTCAGTGGAGCCCATGCAGGTGGGGAGAGGCTAACACACTACCGCTCCATGTGATCAGGGGCCACTGGGATTGAGGATCGCCTGCAAGATGGAGTCCCAGAAACCATCGCTAAATTTCGGCAAGCCGGCCTGCAGATCTGGGTCCTCACTGGAGACAAACAAGAGACGGCCATCAACATTGCGTACGCCTGCAAGCTCCTAGACCA